CTATTTTGTAAAATAATATATACTTGCATATATATGATAAAAATTTATTTGTGGAACATGTTAACCAAAATGTTAACAAAATGGTTATCAGTGAATGAAAAAGAAGGGCATCTCCAACATAGATGAGGTTAATATATACTTGCATATATATGATAAAAATTTATTTGTGGAACATGTTAACCAAAATGTTAACAAAATGGTTATCAGTGAATGAAAAAGAAGGGCATCTCCAACATAGATGAGGTTCTTGAGCAGACATAGAAGAATAGCAATAAGTTTTTTTTTTTTTTTTTTTAAAGATGACTGGTAAGGGGATATTAACCTTTGACTTGGTGTTGTCAGCACCACGCTCTCTGAAGTGAGCCAACCAGCCATCCCTATGTAGGGATCTGAACCCCTGGCCTTGTTATCAGCACCACACTCGCTCAAGTGAGCCGCAGGCCAGCCCTGAGTTAAATGGTTTTGTAGAAACTTGTGTAACAGGACAAATTGTACATTACTGTTTTTTTTTTAGCAGAGTCCCAAAGGGAATCCTACTCCTTCTGATGACACTTTAATGAAGAGAGATCTCTTAGTATTGAAGGAAATACATGGCCATGTTGGTCTTAGGGCCTAGTGAATAACTGTATACCTATTGTCATTTTCACTTCACTCTGAATTTGCTTCACTTCAGTTCTATGGTACATCAACTCACTGGAATATTTTATAACCTCTAATTAATGTTGAGAGAATGTTACATGCTAATGATATGTAAACTAAAATTATGATATAAAATTTTGTACATTTTAAAGTAAAAGGGACTTATGGTTAAGAATTTAGATTTTGGGGGCCGGTCCGTGGCTCACTCGGGAGAGTGCAGTGCTGATAACACCAAGGCCTCGGGTTCGGATCCCATATAGGGATGGCCGGTTAGCTCACTGGCTGAGCGTGGTGCTGACAACACCAAGCCAAGGGTTAAGATCCCCTTACCGGTCATCTTTAAAAAATAAATAAATAAATAAATAATTAATTAATTAAAAAAAAGAATTTAGATTTTGGAGTTAGTACTGAATTTAGGTTGGCTAATGTCCCCAAAACTCAGTTTCTTCATTTGTAAAATAGGAGCAATAGTACCTACCTCCTGCCAGTGGTTGTTAGAATTAAATAAGGTAATGACTTAAAGTTCTTAGTATAGTACCTAGCACATAGCAAGTTTCAAGTAAATATTTGTTACAATAATTGCATTTATGTGAAAGAGTACATATTTTAAAGACTAGAAAAAATATATAACAATGATAATTGTATTAGGGCAGTAAGTAAATCCACATTAATCTCTAAGTGCTCTGTAATGTTATTTTATTATACTGTAATATAATAACGTATAAGTTATTATGAATAATTTAAAAAGTAGTAAAAATTAACTTTTGTGTTAAAATATTTTGCGTATTTAAATATATCTCATATTTTATAATGAAAAAATATTCCTATTTCACAGTAATAAAAAATATAGGTATTGGTAGGTCTTAAAGTTGGAGGTAGTTAGACAAATGACGTTAATAGCAAACTGTGATGATTTGAGCTATTTTATAGAGAGCATTCGGTTCTGAGGTTAACTAAAAACAGCAGCTAAGTAATGTAACTCATATGCCCCAGCTATAGTGGCCTTTCGGTTCTTCAACACCAACTCATAGGCACCTTTCCTTAGTTATTTACTCTGCCTGGAGTGCCCAGAATGCTTATCTCTTTGATCTTTACTATCTTGTAGATAGCCCCATAATTGTCATTACCTCTGGCTGCCTAATTTATAAGTGGCTACTCAGCTGTCCTTCTGTCACGTTGTTGTATTTTCATTTTCTGCATAGCTCTAGGGCATTTTTATAATATATTTGTTAGTTTTTAGTTCTCTGATTTTCCTCACAAGACTGTGTGATCCATACTAGTATTTATCTTTTTCACACATTCCTAGCACCTAGACCTATATTTGGTACATAGTAGGCATTAATTAAATATTTTGGATGGATAAGTGAATAAATGATTGTTGTATTATAACTAGACATAATAATCATCTCACATTTCTTTTTTTATTTTTATTTTTTAAAGATGACCGGTAAGGGGATCTTAACCCTTGACTTGGTGTTGTCAGCACCACGCTCACCCAGTGAGCAAACCGGCCATCCGTATATGGGATCCGAACCCGTGGCCTTGGTGTTATCAGCACCACACTCTCCCGAGTGAGCCACAGGCCGGCCCATCATCTCACATTTCTAAATTTTTATATAGCTAACAAAAATTTTTTTTTCTCTTATCCCATGGATAATTCTCTGGTATCTTTATCAGTAATGCTCACTGATTTAAGGGTCTGATAGTAAATATGGGGCTGGGGTCTCTGTTGCAGTGACTCAGTTCTGCTGTTGTAGTGAAAGCTTCATAGACAGTATGTTAATATATGGGCATGGCTGTGTTTCAGTAAAACTTTATAAAAACAGGCCTCCATCGTGCAGGTTGTAGTTTGGTGACACCTGCTGTAGGGTGATACCTATACCTGGATAGTAACAGGGAAGAGGGAAAAAAGAACACTGGGCATCTGGTAGAGCCACACTGGGAAAGAAGGATAGGATTAACAGAGGCGTGAGGAAGGAGCCAGGAGCTGGTAATGTGGCAGTACGTGGAAGCAGATTTGTAAGGAAACGGATATATAGAGATTTTTGGGCTTTTCACTTACAGATAATGTTATAGATATTATTGAGCTACAGACAGCCAGCAAGACAGACCTCAGGACAAGGGCAGCACTTTGTGTAAAGAACTAATAATTCATTGGTCATTTAGGTCACAGGTATACATTTAGGAATATACTGTGTCATTGCTAAAGATTAAACCTAGCATAAATAATTGAGTAGAAAAATTATTTTTTTACTCCTTATTTGATATCTAAGTAATTAGATAGTTCTTGTTTGATCCAAGGACCTTTTTACCTAGTGGATCTCTTTGTTTTACATTCTCTACAGTGTTACTTGGAGGTGGAGGTGAAATGGGGAAAAAAATATATGTTTGTGAAAATGTTACGAACGCTTCTGGAGAGTAACAAAAAACTGAGTGCTGGGGAGGCTGATAGATGGGAGAGAATGGGAGATTTACCTTGCACAGAATATCGTTTTGTACTTTTAGATTTTATACTGTGTATACATATTACATATTGGGTAACATAAATAAAACAAACAAAATTTATGCAGCCAAGAGGTTTGTTGGGTCTGTTTTGTGACCTAAGGGTCTAATAGTCTTTTAAAAATGTTTTTAGATGTAGGGCCGGCCCGGTGGCGCACTGCTATAGTGCGCTGCTTTGGAAGTGCGGCAGCGCTCCCGCCGAGGGTTCGGATCCCACATACAGACCGGTTCCCGCTCACTGGCTGAGCGAGGCGCGGGAGCAACACCGAGGGTTGCGATCCCGTTGCCGGACACAGAAAAAGACAAAAAAAAAAAATGTTTTTAGATGTATAATTTTAGTAAGAGTTTTGGGATTGATTCCTTTAGTATTTAGAAAAGATATACAGTATACTTTTATATTAAGAACTTGTTTTCTCTTTCTGATTCAAATAGGGCTACTTTCAGTTGTATACATCAGAGCAAGCTCGATCATCTTAGAGAATAATTTACAAAATGACTTACTTGGTTGTTAATTCCAATAATTGTTTAGATGAGGTCATAATTTGTGTGGCATGGTAATAATAGCTAACATTTCTTGGGCTGTTACTACATTTAACATGTTATCTATTTTGATTCTCACTAATACTGTGAGATATAGGTAATATTATTTCCCCTTTTATCAGATGAGGTGTTAAATTTCAAGAACTCTCAAGAGTAACTCTAGAAAGTTGCAGAACCAGACTTAATCTAGGCCTCTGTTCCGCAGAGCCTATTCTTAACCAGTTAAGCACTGCTGCTTTGTAGTTGCTTCCCCACACAATTGCAACTTATGGGTGACTAATGGAGAGAGAGGGCCTAGTTAGTAATGAGACTGAACTGAAAAGTGTATGCTCCTCATTCTTTACTATTTAGTTATCCCTATTTTAAGATTTAGGAAATTTTTATTTCTGAACATCCTAAAGGCCTCAGCACAGTATGTACATTCATAAAAGGATGACCTATGTTATTGATGGGTTTTTTCTATTTTAATTTTCGTTGAAAATATATAATCAGGGGCCGGCCCGTGGCTCACTCGGGAGAGTGCGGTGCTGATAACACCAAGGCCACGGGTTCGGATCCCACATAGGGATGGCCGGTTGCTCACTGGCTGAGCGTGGTGCTGACAACACCAAGTCAAGGGTTAAGATCCCCTTACCGGTCATCTTTTAAAAAAAAAAAGAAAATATATAATCAGTCACATGATTCCAAAGTCAAATTATATAAAAAGGTAGACATTGAAAAATTTAGCTACCATTTCCGTCAGTCTTCTTTACTCCCACATCCCACTTCTACCTCTTGTGGTAACTACTTTTATTAGTTTCTTATTTATCCAAGCACTGTTTCTTTATGCACACATGGAAAAAAATGATCCTCTCTTTCAAAAGTGTGTCTGCTACAAATAGAATCTGTATATTCTCTATCTGCTTCTAATTTTCAATGAAAAGAAAAATGTTATTAGCAAAGGTTTACTCTTTTTCTAGTAGTTCTCTACAGTTTAACACTTTTCCTTTGGGAAGGCTAATTACATATGGATGGCAGGAATTTCTATCACAGGTGATATTTTTAAAAATTCCTGACAGGTGATGGTAAAATGAGAATCAGAGCAGGAAGGTGAATTTAAATGGGTGAATTGCACCAGGTTACAGTATATTTGAAAATTATTTTGAGTAGGAAAAAAAGTCTGTCAAAACTGAACAGCCCCTAATGTATTCTGATTTTGAAGGTATGATACATAACGGTGGTAGCATTCATTAAGAAACAAAACATGATCTTTCTGGTAATTATTGGCGACTTGTGGTTAAGTCTGACGGCTCACTTTCGTTTCTTCTTATTCATTGTAGTTACGCCAGTCCCAGTCCTACTGCACAGACACAGAATGTCTTCAGGAATGTAAGTACCAATGAGACCACGAAGAGGGTTGGCATTGGTGGCAGAATTAGAGGTCAGACGACTGTGAATATTTGTCAGAAATTATTTTTACAGTTTGCTCTTTAAGGAAATAGTTCTCAGTAATATATTTGCTGCTTAAATATTTCATTTTTTTAACTTAAAATTGTTTATTCCTGCCTCAAAAACGAACCCTGTTCATTGAAGAAAGTTATAAAATCACAGATAAATAAAACAACAACAAAGAACATACAAAATACTAAAAGATAACCACTGTTGACAAATTCATGTATACCCTCCCAAACCTTTTTTCTTGGTGAATGTGTGTGTAATAGGACACTTTGGGCTAGTGTAACTGGAACATCAAGGCTGCTAGCACAAACCCCTCACCCTTTTCTTTGAGTCTGTTTACATCCTTTGGCAGGCTTGGGAACTTCCAAGTGAGGAGGCCATTCTTTCTGACGTTTGGAAGCTTTAGGTGCCTGTGACATTCATTCCTTTGGCTCTGACATTAGCATTCCCACAAGGGAATGAGCAGTTTGGGGGGACAGGGTGGGAGGGAGATGATTCTCGTCATGGTTTTATGTGCAGTGGTGATGGTAAAGTGAGAATCAGAGCAAGAAAGTGAGTCCTGCATGGTAATATAGATTATTTCAATAAGTTCTTTTTTTTTTAAAAAAAGATGACCGGTAAGGGGATCTTAACCCTTGGCTTGGTGTTGTCAGCACCACGCTCAGCCAGTGAGCGAACCGGTCATCCCTATATAGGATCCGAACCTGGGGCCTTGGTGTTCTCAGCACCGCACTCTCCCGAGTGAGCCACGGGCCAGCCCTATTTCAATAAGTTCTTAACTGTCTCCCTGTTTCTCCTTTCCAAATCAACAGCCAAAGTGGTCTGTAAAAATGAGAGTCAGATATTGTCTCCTTTTTGCTCAAAACTTTTCACTTGTTTTCTATTAATACATAATAGAAGTCAGGTCCTTGTTGAGACCTGTAGGACCTACATGTTCTGGCTCCTGTTACTCTTCTAATTTAATCTCTTTCTTGTATCCTACCCCACCCTACCCAAATGTTAGCTATTAATGATAAAAATGTTTGCTATTTAAAAAAATACCAATCTGGGGTGGCCAGTTAGCTCAGTTGGTTAGAGCACAGCCTTGTAACACCAAGATCAAAGATTCAGATCCCTGTACCAGCCAGCCGCCAAAAAAAAAAAAATCACTCTGGCAACAGTACAGAGGACAGAGGAGGCAGAAGTAAATATGGAGGGGCCAATGGATATAGAGAAAATGGAATGCTCATGCGTTGTGTGACAGGTAATGTGATTTTGGTGACTCTGAGTACAGTTAGCTGTTTCTAGGGAAGTGAACTGGGATTGGATCAGAGGCTGCATTTCTATTCAGCTTGCTCTTGGGCCAATTCAGCTCTTTATGGGGCGGAGGGGGGGGTGGCTGGCCGGTAGGAGGATCCAAACCGTTGACCTTGGTGTTGTCAGCACCACTCTCTACCAACTTAAGCTAACTTGCCAGTCTGCAATTTAGCTCTTAATTTGACTTTGTACCCTTTGGTCACTAGTCCTTTGGCCTCACTCAGCATTGCCACCAATTACTTCTTGGGAGTGAGCCCTGGGCCTATGGACCCCAGTGTAATGCATCAGCTTAGTTTCAACATGTTTTGTGGATTTCTTTTACTTTTTCTTTTTCTTTTTTTTTTTTTTTTAAAGATGACTGGTAAGGGGATCTTAACCCTTGACTTGGTGTTGTCAGCACCACGCTCACCCAGTGAGCTAACCGGCCATCCCTATGTGGGATCCGAACCCTTGGCCTTGGTGTTATCAGCACCACACTCTCCCGAGTGAGCCACAGGGCCGGCCCTCTTTTACTTTTTCTTAAAGCAGGGGGACCAACACTACACAGTTGTAGTCTTGACAGATGATTTTAGTAACCACCTAGAAATACTATATTTTTTTCTAGAAATCTGATCTTCTATAATTTTCATTTCTGAAATTTGAGTTCTTTAACATACATCAATAAAAAATCTACATTTCTTTTATTAGAAATTTGTTAATCTGATACCATGCTCCAGGCACTGTGCTAGGCACTTGTTATTCCTACATTTATGTAATTAATATGAAGTTTCTTGAATTAATTCAAATAAGGGGGACACCCCAAGCCCTACTGACCTTAACAATATGGCTGCCTCGAGCTGGGAAAGATCGATAACCTGAACACACATGCACACACCCCTGTCTGACTCTTTTCTCTTGATACATGCATAGACTTTAAAAATATTTATGTCTGAATCCAATTTCTTTTTATGAAAAAGAAAGCCAAGTTAGTCTCTTTGGTTGGAATATAATTAAAGGGGTCTTCTAATTTACTTATGTAACCCAGACGTTCCCTTTTTTGTAAGTCCTGTTTTTTCATGCTGCTTTTCTAATTAAGATGCAGAATTTTTCCTCTGAAAGGAGAGTGGGGTTATTTATTTATTTATTTATTTTTTAAAGATGACCGGTAAGGGGATCTTTTTTTTTCCTTTTTGTCTTTTTTTACTGACCGGTAACGGGATCGCAACCCTCAGTGTCGCGCCAGTACCGGGGACTGGCAACGGGATCGCAACCCTCGGTGTTGCGCCCGCACCGCGCTCAGCCAGTGAGTGGGAACCGGTCTCCACATGGGATCCGAACCCTTGGCGGGAGCGCCGCCACACTCCCAAGTGGCGCACTCTCCAGTGCGCCACCAGGCCGGCCCAGGGGATCTTAATTAACCCTTGACTTCGTGTTGTCAGCACCACACTCTCATGAGTGAGCCACAGGCCGGCCCAGGAGAGTGTTTTTACTGAATGTCAAGTAGTCTTAACCTGGGTGCTGTAGATCTCAGCGTATCTATGGATTGGTGGCTTTGTGTGTCTGTGAACCCACATGGGTTCACTGTATGCAAAATTGTTGATTACATATACCTAGATTCTTATAGTGGAAAGAGTCCTTAATTTTTATGAGATTCTCAGAGAATTCTGTTACCACAAAATATAAAGAACTATTATTACACTGTTTAAAATTCTTCACTTATTAGACTTCAGCTTATGACTGTTTAACATCATTTACCATTTAGATTCACTGGAGGTAAGGGAAATGGAAGATGTAATACTTTACAATTGTGCTTCTCTAATTTATTAATATTTTATATTAAGACAATTTTTTATTGAAACATAATTGATTATACATATTTGTGGGGTATAGAGTTGAATATCAATACCTTTGTACAGTGTATGATCAAATCAGGATAATTAGCATATTCATCATTACAAAACTTAATCATTTCTTTGTGATGCGGACATTCAATCTCCTCTCTTCTGGCCATTTGATAACATGCAGTAAATTAATGTTAATTATAGATGCCTAGCTCAACTGTACACCTATAGACCTTATTTTTCCTTACTAGCTGTTTCATGTTCATTACCCAATTTCTCACTATCCCCCTCTTTTACTTTTATCCCCCTTGAAGCTGATATTTAACATTAGAACTTGTTTTTATGTTTATCTAACAATCTTATAATCATGCTACAAGTTTATTTATAAATATATTTTTTGTTTGTCTTTAGTACCAGGACCCTCTGGTGATAATGGTATCAGTATTACTATGATCTTGATGGCCTGGATGGTTATTGCACTGATCTTGTTCTTACTGAGACCTCCTAATCTAAGAGGATCCAATCTACCTGGAAAGCCATCCAGTCCTCATAATGTAAGTGTTGTGGATTATAAATCTTTTTTGGGTAGGGGCATATGTATGGCCTGGGGAGCGGGGAGGAGCTTGTAAATCTTGCAGCCCCAAATTGTTTAGTCTTTGTGGAGTTAATTATAGAAAGCAGCACAGACCAGTAGCCCCAAATAATTTTTAAATGAATTCCAATCTTTATTCACATGAGCAACATCAAAAATGATCCAGTTCATAATCCACAGCAGTATTACTCAAATCTCAGTTCTCCACTGCCCAGTTCTGTCCACCTCACAGTTGATCCTTTGCCTCTCATACTTCTGGCCTGGTTATTAAATACAATAGAGACTCTGAGCTTATCTGGCCAGATTCTTTTTACCCATCTTGTTTCTCTCAAACCCATTTTCCAGTTCTGCATGACAATAAATCAACTAAGCTGGCAAAAAGAGAGGTAGGAATCATTCATGTTGTTAAATCTTGATAGTCATGGTTACAACGACTTTTAGAACCTTTTAAATGAAAAATATGATAAAGTGACCCAACAGGGAGTTTTTAGTACTACAATTAATAGAACTTTCATTAAAGGATTTCATTTAATCCTTTTCAGAACCAGTATTTAAGTATTTTTTCTTTTCCATTTGATTTGAATATTCTTTAAAAATTTTTCAATGCATATGTTAATGAGCTTGATTTAGCCATTCTACAATGTATACATATTTCAAAACATGTTATACCCAATAAATGTATACAATTTTTATTTGTCAGTTTAAATAAATAAAATGTTGGGCTAGCTGTTTAGCTCAGTTGGTCAGAGTGCAGTGTTATAACACCAGAGTCCAAAGGTTCAGATCCCTGTACCTGCCAAAAAAATAAATAAATAAAAATAAACAAAATGTTAAAAAATAAAATAGACGTCTATAAAATGACACACAAAGAAATTCTTCATGACAGATTCACTTGTTGAACACCAAATTATCCCACTAATTCTCTTCCCTGGCCTTTACCATGTGGAATTCCTAAAATAATTGCTTTTTCTCCCAGATCTTGTGATGTTAATATTAGAAAGAAATTCAGTTAGACTGATTTCTTATATAGGGAAAAGCAAATGTGCAATGTTAATTGGTCAGTGCTTTGCTTTTTTTAGGAGTAGAACATTTAGATATGTAGCATGCTATCTTTAATTAAGAAAGAACAGTCTATATAAAAAGACATACATTTGATTTTGGTTTTTCCTGCAGAGGCTGGTGTTCATAAAACAGCTTGCATATTATCTTAGTAAAGTGTTTCTTCCTTAGCCTTTTTTCTTCTGTGTACAGCTTTATTACTTTCATGTCAAAAAGTGACTTCCTCAATATTTAGAGCTAAAAAATTCAACTTTTAATAACCTGACTTAGAAGCCATTAAAAATGACAGAAATGCAAGATTACACTTCCCTGGACCTTAGCTCATTGTAGGCCAGCAGTTTGAGGAATAGTAGTCCTACTGCCCTAGGAATAAGCAAGAAAACACATAACCATAATTCCAAGTAGAAATATCGGTCACCCTTAGCTAGGTCCTCATATAGCATGTCAAGGTAAATAAATAAAATCTTCCTGAAGATTCCTAAAGGCTCTGATCTTTCCTCTATAGTGGAGATGCTTTCTACTGCAAGTAACAAAAACCAATTCAAACTGGTTTTAATAAGTGGCTTTATTATTGGTTTATACATCAAAAACTCCAGAAGTAGGGCCAGTGTTTACAAAGTATAACAGTATCATTAAAGACCCAGTTTCTTTCCTCATACAGTCAGCTTCAGTCCAAGGCGGGCTCCCCTTATGGTCATAGGATGGCTGCCAGAAGCAACTGGAGCCACATGCTTCCTCATTGACATTCTGCAGTGAGAAACAAAAGTCCCTAGCTTCATGTTCAGTGTGCTGCACTCCACCAGTCACGTTAGCAGGAGGGATGAAAATACCTTTATTGCTTTAAAAGTCGTCCCTGGAGCTTGCAGGGAAGATTAAACCACTGTTACACAAATTTGCTTTCTTCCATCCCACAGGGAAGAATGAGACCAATGTTGGAGAATCACAGTGTTAATTTAGTGTTTCCTTGTGTAAAAACATGAAAAGTCCAAAAAGTACATAGTTTGGGATGGGACGATGGGGGTGGGGGGATATGGCTGCTCAGTTCTTACTGTATGTGTTAGATTGGTTGCATTGGGATTTAAGAAATCAATTAAATAGTTTATTTCTTTCTAATGCCAGGAACAAGATCCACCAGCTCCTCCTGTGGACTAACTTTGTGATATGGGAAGTGAAAATAGTTAATACCTTGCACGACCAAACGAACGAAGATGACCAGAGTACTCTTAACCCCATTAGAACTGTTTTTCCTTTTTGCATCTGCAATATGGGATGGTATTGTTTTCATGAGCTTCTAGAAATTTCACTTGCAAGCTTATTTTTGCTTCCCATGTTATCACCATTCCTATTTACAGTATATCTGAGTAAATGATTATATGTTAAAAAAAAGTTACATGGGGATTTTTTGGTTGTCCTAAACTTAAACATTCCACTCATTCTGTTTGTAACTGTGATCATAATTTTCATGATGATTTCTGGCCTGATTGAAGGAAATTTGAGATCTCTGCATTTAAATATTTTAAATAGTTTTGATAGGTTTTTAAATTGCTTTTTTTCATAAGGTATTTATAAAGTTAATTTGGGGTTGTCTGAGATTGTATGAAAGAAAATTAGAACCACACTGTATTTACATTTACCTTGGTAGTTTATTGTGGGTGGCAGTTTTCTCTAGTTCTTGATACTGTGGCAGCTCTTGTAGTATTTTACAAATTACGGCTGAAATCTATATCATCCATTACAGCTGGCTTATGTGGCTAGAATAGGATAGAAGAGATGAAGTGGTTGTTTACTAATTTTTTTTACTCCCATTAAAAATGTTTAATTTTAAGAAAACTAAGTAAACACAATTGATCAATATGGTGGGTGATTTACAGTCCATTATATGACCTTCGTAAGCCACTGTACACTAACTAGCCTTACAAGGTTTATGAAAGGAGGAAAAAAGATAATTCTTTCTGCCTTTGCCAAATATAATCTATATAATATTAATTTAAGCTATAATTTATTTTTAAAATGAGTGCCTCTCAGTAAGCTTCTATTCTGTTCTAACACTTCCCTGTTAAAATGAAATCATCTTGAAGCTGTATTGTGGCCTCTTAGATTACTGATATTTGAATGCCTCTTGATTTGCTTACTCCCTTTTCTATTTGAAGAAAATTTTGAAATTTTTTCTTCTGAGTTTTAAAATTTTTCAACAAATTCTTTGTTTATTCCAAGGGAAAAGGAGGAAAATGAGAAACAATCAAGGATCTTTCTCTTACCCCTGTCACATTTCTGTTTGGTAATGGGATGTACTGGGGTGGGAAGGAATATTAATAGAAGTGAAATTTTGAAATGTATAAAAAAGTAAAAGGTTGCATTGTGAATACAGTAGCATAAAAAATGTCTGCAATGCTTATGTGGTTATGGAATTTTTTTCTAGCAAATGATTGCAGATGATTTATGGGGGATAGAAGATATTTTGCTATTAATGTAAGGATTTTTACCCCCTAGGATAGTCTAGCTTTTCACTGTATAGATGTGGAATTTTTTTCTAGCAAATGATTGCAGATGATTTATGGGGGATAGAAGATATTTTGCTATCAATGTAAGGATTTTTACCCCCTAGGATAGTCTAGCTTTTCACTGTATAGATGTGAGGAATTACTTGTATGAACTGAATAAACTTCTCTATATCATTGTACTGTTTAATACTCTCTGATACAATTGTGTGACACTCATAGGGTATTTTTCCCCTTTATTGTGATTACATTCTAGGCCATAAACATTGTAGGGGCATCATTTCATTATATAATCTAATACTGACTTCTTGCATCCCTCCTTGGGTATCTTGGCTTTGTGCTCACCTTCTTGAAATAACTTGTGTTAATAGAGGGGTAACATAACACAGGTAAGTTAAATTCTGGAGAAATGAACACCACAGAGTAAAGGTTTTTCCTCTTGCTGTGGCCTACCGGAAGCCTTCCCAGCAATACAGCTGGTAAAGTATTTAAAGTGGAACGGGTCGGAATAGCATGAGATGGAGCTAAATCCCTGTAGCATTCCATTTTCTGCCCTGGCTTCTTGAGCTTTGAAGGCTTGCCCATATAGCCCAACAGTCTGTTCTCTTAGCTGCCAGAAAGCCAATTCCTGGCAGAGGTACTGATGTAGTCACTGGATTATTGGCTCACAAATAATTGAGAATTGGTTTTGGTTGAAGAAGTGGCTGAAAAAAGGATACAGACTGTCTAGTATCAGAGACCTGAAAATCTGGATTCTTATTCCTAGTTTTTCATTCCTGTCACATAATTGATATTCTATCTAAATATATTAGCCTTTTCCTGTATGGACCATCTATTTAGTTAGTAACAGAAGTTCTTAGTGAAGTATTTAATCTTGGGTTCTTTGCTTATAAAATTTCTCTGCATTCCTGAAAAAAGACAGTGTACTGCACATAAAGTATTCTTAACCTAACTAGTAATTTATATACTATTCTTTTTAACTCTTAAAACTTCTACATGTGGCCTTTTTATTAAGTGCACTCATAAATCATTATTTGTCTTATAAACATTCACCTGACCTGTGGCTACAATCTTTTTTAAGTTATCTGGAAAAAAGAAAGATAAATTGTACATTTTCATCACTTTTAGCTCTTAAATATTCCACAAATGCAATTAAGAGTTTATTTTGTTTTAGAATCATTTAATATTCTTTTATGCAATATAATGGGAGTTGGTTTTTGTTGATTTTGCTTTCCATATGGAAAAGGTTAACATTGGAACTGTTTATAGTGAAAGATTTTAACATGCTCTATTTAAGCACATCCCCTGGTCAGCAAGTCGTATTTTACAACTTGCAGAGGTTTTCCAAAGTAAGTATTGAGTAAGCTATACCATGGTTACTTTAAATGTCTGTGGTATATAATGTGATAGTGTTTATGGAATTACCAATATCTTAAATTTTCACAGGAACCTTGGAAGTCTATCTCTCTAAATGAAAGTCTAAATGAATATGTGCTCAAATTTGACCAGCTAAGTTTGAGACACAAAACAGCAACTGAAGAAGGAAAAATGTAGAGAGTTTACAGTAAATGGGTTAAATTTTTGTAGTTAAAATTATAAGTTTAGTCTTATGATAATGTTTCTGAATGAAAAATCGTATATATTTGTTACCTTATCTGATGATTACTTTGTTAAAAGCAAAAGTGGTCATGTGATGTACTAAATGTTAATTGCTGTTTTTAAATGTTTAAATCATGCCAAACAAATTATGTCTGTGCCATCCAGGGTTTATTGTTAATCTTTTACTGAGTACTTGGATTGGGATAAAGGGCTTGTACTATGCACTTTTTATTAATGAATAAATAGAAAACATTAGTAACACTCTTTGTTTTGTGTTTGGCTTTTGTGGTAAGATAAGCAAGCCTTTTTTGCTTAGTAAATTTTAATATCCTATATTAAACAGTTTCTTCATAAGACTTCTTACCCCTAACTAAAGACATTCCTAAGAAAAAAACTTTAAGTCATAATAAAAATATATAATAGTATTTGTTCAGTATTCAGAAGTGGAGATTTAAGGGCGGGAGCGCCGCCGCGCTTCCCAAGCAGCGCACTATCCAATGCGCCACCGGGCCGGCCCCTTTATTTATATAAGAATCTCTAGGAAATTAGATTGCAATTACATTTCTTTGATTTTTATTTATATTTTTCTTTTCTTTTCTTTTCTTCCTAGAATACAGGGTCAAATCAGACATTTGCTTTGAGGGAATAATATCCAACAGTGTGAATTATTTCAGCAGACATGTTGCTCAAAAGGAGCTAGACACGTAACTACTGAAAACACACAAAAGTGAAAATTTGCTTTTACTCTTGTTACCTGGGATATGTCCAGACACTAAAGATCATTGATACCCGTATACATGTAAAAGTGGTAAAGTTGCTCTGGCATAATTCTGATGTTGGCATCAGTGTGATAAGTGTTATTTCTTTATTTTTTATTTTTATGTTTTGGCAGCTGGGCTGTATGGGGATCCAAACACTTCACCTTGGTGTTATGAGATTGAGTGTTATTTAAAATAGGAAAATTTGTGAAATACATAATTTCCTGCAGACAGTTTATGATTTCAATATAAAGTTTGTCATGGACATATCAATGAATATCAGTATCTAGTAAAACTGTAAGTTTTCTTTAAATGGCTCTGCGTTACTAGTTTTCCTCCCAGAAAATGGAATTCAAATAAAATGTTTCCTGCCATTTCACCTAATTTTCTCAGTTCTAGTCCTCAATTTGTAGAATTGTTGGCATTTTTTTCTCCAAAAGATGTTCCACAAACACTAACTGTGATTATCTTTCATGCTCAGATTTTTTTAAACAGGAGTTAACAGTGTCATCTTTTCCCACTTTGGGTTGATTGTAGGGAACTTTTTGTGTGCGTATCTTTTCTCAAACAAATGGATTATGTTTGTTCAATAAATAACAAATGTTTATATTTGTTTATTGCTTAACTATGTATTGTTTAAAGTGGATGTTCAGGATTAGATTATAGAAGCCATTTTCAACCATTAGATGCTGTAGTGGATTGAATTATGTCCCCTCAAAACTACTGAAGCTTGAATTGTCTCCCAAGTTTTATGTATTAGAAACTTAGCCCCTGGGCCGGCCTGTGGCTCACTTGGGAGAGTGTGGTGCTGACAACACCAAGGCCACGGGTTCGGATCCCATATAGGGATGGCCGGTTAGCTCACTTGGGAGAGCATGGTGCTGACAACACCAAGTCAAGGGTTAAGATCCCCTTACCGGTCATCTTTAAAAAAAAAAAAAGAAACTTAGCCCCCATTGAGGGTGGGAATTCCTATTATGGTAATTGAAAGGTGGAGGCTTAAAGAGGTGATTGGATTGTAGGACCGTGCAGTAGTGAATGGATTAAAAGTGGTGGTCTGGGGCATGGTTCTGAGGGCTTTAAAAGAAGAGGAGAGTATGTCTGTCTTCTCTCTCTGCTTCCACCATCTTGCAATGTGAGACCCCTGGGTTGCGATCCCGTTGCCGGTCCCGGTCCGGTATGGGGGCAACACTGGGGGTTGCGATCCGTGGCCAGACACGGAAAAAAACAAAAAACAAAAAAAAAAAAAAAGAAACTTAGCCCCCATTGAGGGTGGGAATTCCTATTATGGTAATTGAAAGGTGGAGGCTTAAAGAGGTGATTGGATTGTAGGACCGTGCAGTAGTGAATGTATTAAAAGTGGTGGTCTGGGGCATGGTTCTGAGGGCTTTAAAAGAAGAGGAGAGTATGTCTGTCTTCTCTCTCTGCTTCCACCATCTTGCAATGTGAGACCCCTGGGTTACTGTCACCACACCAGGTGGACTTAGGACTTCCCAGCTGCAGAAAATGTAAGCAATAAATTTCACTTTTTTAATAAATACCCAGTTCCATGTATTTTGTTATAAGCAACAAAAATGGACTAAATACAGATGCCAAATTACAATGTCTATTGAAGTGGGGGAAGATTTCTGGGAGGCAAGAAATGTGTTGAGGTGAAGAACAATATGTGTAGTTTAAGAATAAAGCAACTTTCATATCAATACTTTTTTTTTTTTTTTTTTTTAAAGATGACGGGTAAGGGGATCTTAACTCTTGACTTGGTGTTGTCAGCACCACGCTCACCAGGTGAGCTAACCGGCCATCCCTATATGGGAATCGAACCTGTGGCCTTGGTGTTATCAGCACCGCACTCTCCTGAGTGAGCCACAGGCCGGCCCTCAATACATTTTTAAAATGAATATTATTACCTTATGCAAATCTCTACTTATTTCTAGGAAACTTAGGAATGAGAAAAAATATTTTTTGGTGTCTGACCAGTAGGGGGATCCGAACCCTTGACCTTGGTGCCTTGGTATGAATGAGAAAAATATCATTTGCAATCCCTGCAATGTCAGAGTCATTACCTCTTAAATATCAGGTCCTACCTACGTTGCTCACAACCTCAGACACTTGGGCTATGTCTTGATTATTGGTTTTGAATTGCATTGTTTCTATTAGTTTTGAAAAATTGAGCAGAATTAAAGAGTGCAAACACCATGTTAGCATTATAGAAAAAGTGTCTTATATTGTTTTTAAGGAAATGAGTCTGTTACATAAACACTCATTTATTGAGCCAGTTTCAAAGGGAGATGCACTTTATGTACAAAAGGCGTCACAGACCTTGGGCTGAATGCAGCTTTCCATGACAACTATTTAGTGTGTGAACTTTAAACTTTGGAAGTCTGGGTGTTCTTTTTTTTTTTTTTTTTTTTTTTTTTTTTTTTTTTTTTTTTTTTC